AAAGTGCTAAATGATTTTAAAAAAAGAAGTCGCAATCGCAAACATTACTAATTTTTTTGAATAAACAGAGTTGATTGACTTATGTCCAAATCCAAAAGAGGAAAAATAAGTTTTGTTATAATTTTATTTATAAAAATGAAAACAACTAAAGATTTATAAATTTAAAATCAGTAATAAAAACCCATTAAATTATTATTTTATCCAAAAAACTTTTAATAAATTAAAATAAAGTAAAAAATAGCCTAACAAATTTAATTACTTTTTAATTTAATTCTTTATGGGCACCTTAAATTAGATTTCCGTTTGTAATAAATTCAATAATGTAAAATAATACTTAAACTTATAGTATCAAAATTAATTTTCACATTTAAAAAAAAAAAAGAAAGTTTTGTTTGAAAAAAAAATTTACCTAATTAAGAAACACTTCTTTATATATTCTTTTCAATAATAGATTATGTTCAGAACAAGGTAATGACGGCGATCACAAAGTCAGTCCCACTGAAAATAATCTACAAGAAACGATATCAAGTTGCGACAAAGAAAAAAAACTAAGAGGTGCGGAAACAAGCATGCGAGATCACGATATATGTTCTCAAAACTGATTCTGATTCTACCGCTCACCAATCAAGGCCGTTTCAATATAACGATACGAACATTGTCTTCCCTAGCGCGAGTTGGCATCGGAATGTAAGAGATCCTTGCGTGTCTTGTATCGCTAAATCGTATATCGCTATATAGTTCTTCTTCTCTACTCGACGGCTTAAATCAGATTTCTGATGCATCGCCTGGAAAGAGAGTTGCTGTATCGGCCTGCCGATACAGGCGTTAAATCGGTATGTCGCAATATTTCGATTTATAGCCCAAAAGCCCAGTCTTAGTCTTGACTTATTTTTAGGCAGTACTTATGAACTTTATCAGCTGAAGACCTGCATCGACCTTCTACATCCATAGGGTTCGAGAAATTCAATTCTTCTCTTAGCACATGTAGTAGCCTTGATACTTCATTCAAATGTGAAATTGTTTGAAATGCCAGGAAAGTGTTTTTTTAATAATTTATGGACACTTGATGAAAAATATAAGGAATGGATATATTAAATCTGTACTCTAAAGATACTTGGATATCCAAAATAAACATGACTCCAGAGAAACGAACACAACGTTTATTTCATATGGACAGCACAAGAGGGAATAAGAATATAACAAATATGAGAAAGTAAATAATTGGCACAGCGCCATCTATTGATATTAATTTTAAACATAAATTTTAGATATAATTTAACACTCCCCACCATGCATCCATTTATTGGATGCATTAATTATTTATTGCACTTCTAAATTATAGTCTTTCAATAGGTCTTTTAACAACATTGTTTTCCAATTGAATCTCACATGATCTAATTTTTCCATCTCTACCAGTAAACAAACTTTTAATCCTTCCTAATTTCCAATTATGGCGCTTAACATTATCTTCTCTCACCAGAACAACATCATCAACTTTATAAGTATTCACATTTTTTGATTGTTTAGAAAACATAACAGATCCTAACTCTAATCAATATTCCTTAAAAAATCTTTTCCAAAAATGATCCAACAATAGTAATCTATATTTCCACTTTTTAGTTAATTCCACTTTATTTGACATTAAATTAAGGTTATTTGGAGAAGGTAAAGTAGTTAAACGTGACCCAACAGTAAAATGTGAAGGAGTTAAGGGGTCAGGCTCATGTAAATCATTGTAAACATAAGTTAATGGTCTGGAGTTAATTACCGATTCTACCTCAGTTAATACAGTAATTAATTCTTCATAACAAAAAGAAGTTTTACCCAAAACTTTTTTTAAGCAATTTTTAACAGATCGTAAAAGCCTTTCCCACCATGGGGCACCTTCTGCAATGAATTTCCATTCTAATTGATGATTCTCTAAGAAGTTACTCACTTCTTCATTTTTACACATTTTATACAAATATTTAAGTTCTTTATCGGCAGACTTAAAGGTTTTAGCATTATCAGAGTATATAACTTTACTAATACCCCTACGAGCAAAAAATCGTCTTAATGATAGCAAAAAACATTCAGTGCTTAAATTAGATATTAATTCTAAATGAATATTATGAGTAACAGCACATGTAAATAAACTTATATACACTTTAGTATTATCTTTTAAATACAATGGCCCAACAAAATCAATACCAGTAATATCAAATGGTTGAGATTTCTCTACTCTATCAATAGGTAAAGGTGAAATAATTTCTTTACCCCCTTTAGCTGTAAATTTTTTACAAATTCTACAATTATACTAAATAGATTTAACAAATTGTCTCCCTTTTAAAATCCAAAACTTACTTCTTACCTGAATTAAAGTTTCATTAACACCATTCTGTAATACTTTTTCATGACAATCATAAACAATTAATTTTGCAAAATAATCATTAGAAAGAACAATTGGACATTTTTCATACACATCTAAAGATGAATTAATTAATCTAGTTTTCACTCTTAGAATACCTTTATCATCTAGCATGAGATTAACATTAGCTAATTTACAATTTTTATCTACACTTTTATTTTGTTTAAGATTTTGGATTTCTGAATAAAAACTCTGTGCTTGGGACATTTTAATCCAGTATTCCCAAGATTTTTCAGTTTCCAGTACAGAAATCGGACCTGTGCACTTTTGCTTTGTCTTCAGAATATTAATAAATCTGAAAACGTAGGATGTCACACGCACTAATTTTCGAATTTTACTGAACTTTGAAATGCACAAAATAGGTTGAATTTCACAATTTTTAACAACAGGTGTCATATCACATCTTTCTTCATCACAAGAAGAAAGTAATACGATTTCAGAAGAATTTTTATCAGGCCAGTTTTCTTCTGATTCGGATAACCAAGAAGGACCATAGGCCCACACACTGTCACACACTAAATCTTTGATTTTTCACACCACGGGTTATCTTGTCAGCCGGATTATCACTGCCTGGACAGTGGTACCACATTTCTGGAGGTGTACTTTCTTTTATTTCACTGACACGATTTTTCACAAGTTTTCCAACGATATGCTGATCCTCTAATCCAGTTGAGCACAATTGAGCTGTCAGTCCATAGACGAGCTTTTGCATCAGGAAATTGCTCCTGCACAACTTTCAACAATCGCACTCCAATAACTGCAGCCATGAGCTCCAACCGAGGCAAAGTCATTTTCTTTAAAGGAGCTACCTTTCCTTTGACTGGAACAAACGCTGTTTGAATTTCACTAGAAACGGTGAATCTCAAATAGAGAACAGTTCCATATGCAGTTTGCGAAGAATCACAAAATACATGTATTTCTAAACTCTGTGGAGTCTCTCTCGATCGAAAATACCAACATGGTATATTGACTTCACATAATCCTTGTAGTTGGTTGTACCAGCAGTTCCAATTGGCTTTTATTTCTTCTGGCACCGGTTGATCCCAATCAATGCCATCTAGCCAGAGTTTTTGAAACATAATTTTTGCTTGAATGGAAAGTGGCGACAGGTAGCCCAAGGGGTCAAACAGTCTCGATGAAATCTGAAGAATAGTTCTTTTGGTCAATTTCTTCTCTGAAGGAGTATCCACAACATCATCTGGTGAGAATGTAAAACAATCATCTGTTGAAGAGTATTTCAGTCCAAGCACCTTTGATGTAGCTTCAGGCATATTTAATTTTAAAGTTTTACTTTCTGGGGGAAATTCTTTCTTTAATTCTTCCGAATTAGAGTTCCATTTGGTTAAATTCATAGATGCTTCCTTCATAATTGTTTTAGCTTCATGATAGACTTCGCGAGCCTCGTCTTCTGAGTCTACTCCAGTGATGAAATCATCGACATATAAGGAATTGTCTAGTAGTTGAAATGTCTTTGGATAAATATCTTGAAATTTCTTCAGATGATGCTTAATACAGGCAGCAAGCAAAAATAGACTTGGCTTGGCTCCAAATATTAGTCTACAAAATCTGTACACTGCAATTTTAGGATTTTGTAAATCCGACTCATCATTAAGCCAAAGAAAACGCATAGCATCTCTGTCCTCTTGAGAAATAGAAATTTGATGAAATGCTTTCTCTATATCCGATGTCATAACTATTC